GCCAGTTCCTCCTTGTAGGCTGTCCCATCTGTCCAGTCTGTTGGGTATAATGCTTGTGCAGCACAGATGCCTGTGTCCAGGGCAACAGGCAACACCTCAGGCCCTCCCCTACCTCGAGGTGATGTGCACACTGACATCCCTTGTGTTTTTCAAGTGAGGTTCTAAACATGCAAGAAGAGATGTTTGCTTATGCCGCGTGCTGTACCTAATGGAGTAGAAACCAACACTCCATTAAAATCACCTAGCTTTTGCCCTCCTGATAGAAGCATGAGCAGCCTTGCACTTGCTAAGAGGTAAAACTTTAAAATTATACCTTTGAAGGCCCACTGTCCCCTGGTTCTAGGAAAAGACACTTGAGTGGGCTCTTTAGAGAGGCCAATGCAATTCTCTGGAAGGGTTGCGCATGGTGAATTAAAAGTCAGCAGATGTGTGTTGTATCTCACAGCTCTTGCAAAGATAACAAAGCTTATATATTTGGATTAAGTTATACAGACTAACCAGAACCACAGGTTACCTACTAACCAGAATGCCTCCTGAGAAATGTGTTGTTAGGTGATTGTGTTATTGTACATGATCCTGCGAACTCACACAGACCTAGATGATATGTTCTACACACCTAGCTATGTGGTGTGTGTTTTATAGCCTATTCCTCTTTGAGCCTTGATGAACACAAAAACAAGAGGTTAAATTACTCACAAGAGAAATGATGTGGTTCAGAGATGCGACACGGGCTGTCTAAGGCAGCTGCTGACCTAACATGGCATGCTGTACATTTTTTGTATAAGTAGAAGGAGTATACGCTAAAATAACCTTAGAAGAACTATACTCTAAAATAACCTTAAAAATATAGTGCAGAAAACACATAAACCAATAACATAGTCATTTATTATTAGGATTATTTTTTTTAAATGTGTGACTGGCAGCCCAGCAGGTCCCAGCAGATGCTGTTCACACCAGCATTATCTCAAACACATGAATAAACTACCCGAGTTATAATGGCTACAATGTCACTGGATGATAGATATTTTCAGCTCCATTATCATGTTAGGGAACTGTCGCCATATGTGTGGCCCATTGTAGGTAGAAATGTGATTACACAGCCCATGTCTGTGGTTAGTTGTACTAACCTTGCACTCTTCTATCATGGGTGCTTCTGGTCTTGTGGCTTCTTCCTCTAGTGCTTGTTTGCAGGCAGAACAGAACTATGATGGAGGAGTTGTGACTCGTTCATCTGCACCGTGCTAACAGAGCAGCTGAGAAGGAATCAGGAAGAGTTCGATGCAAATCCTCCTAGACTGGACTGTTGTTCTCTCACATATGCAACTTAACACCGAAGAGCCCAGACTTTGGTAAATCTATTGATAGGTAGCAATGGTGGAATTTCCTTGAGGGTTTCCATCTGGATCACAGGTGTGGAAAGGATGGGCATTTCCTGCAGGGGATGGATGCTTATGTAGACAATCATCGCAGAGATGATGATCCCAAGAAAAATGAGGAGGCTGGCCTTAGGATGTATCCAGGAATGTAGCATTCTCTCCTCTCTGCACCAGCATTGGCCTGGACTCCAAAATATAACACTTTCAGACACTGGAGTGAACTGAGGGCCCAACAGGCTTGGCCCAGTACATAACTCTGAGGATCCATAGAGCTCCTTCGGTGACTACTTGTATAAATCTTCATGTTATATTTACATTAATCATTTTTCCCATTATCTCTCTATCCTCATATCCTCAGTTTAATCTTAAAAGCTCTGGCCTAGGTTCCACTGTAAAGAATTCTGAGAAGCAGCCTATCGCCAGGTTGACACTGAGAATCAAAGGGAAGTGACAGGGACTGTGCCCAGTGAGGGTATTGTCTATGGATGACCATCACCAGCAGCAGTCTAGCAGCCCAGGAACAAGGTGGAGGAATGAAGACTTTGGAGTCTGCCTCCCAGAAACTTCATAGAATCACTGGGTAGAGGACATTCTGCTGATAGCATGATGGTGCCTCACACCATTGGATTAAAATTGGGACGGAATAAAACAATTTCTATCCTGAAGAATTGTGTGGGAAAGAAAATCAGCCAATGGTTGATAGATACTAGTGTCCTTTCTGGTAAAATCATAGTCCCTTCCCTTCATTTTGTTTTGGGTTTAGCTATACACCTATATTTATTGGAGAGAGCAGTATAAGCAAGAAGGCATACTGAGCTTAACATTATCTAGGTGTATCCCAGTGATTCTGAGTCTAGAAAATTACTTAAGACACTGCAGGATCCTAAATCAACTTTTTTTTTTAAAAAAAAATCTTTTTACCCTCTCATCTTTCTTAAAATTAGAAAGTAAACTCATATATTATAGAAATATTTTTCATAACAAATATTGAAAGGTTATGGTAATGCCATTAATATGCAGTATTGTTCTCTAAAACATGTAATCTTCATTATGACTTTTCAAAGTCTAGTATTAAGTACTTTCAAGCTTGTTAAAAAGTAGCTTTTTTTTTTTAGAACTACTAATTATGCTTTACCCCTGATAGCCTCTCAACTAAAAGGGGTCCGTGCCAGAATATTTCCTTTGTTCAACATCTTTTGTCACTTCTGGTTGCCGGGAACCCTCTAAAAGCAGGTTCAGTCAATTTAGCTAATGGCATCTTCCTTGGTCTCTACTACTCTCTTTTTGAGTTGGGTGACTTTGAATTATTCTCTCTGGCTTAACCTCAGTTTCACCATTTTAAATGGTGGCGTTAATAGTTCTACCCACTGTTGTAAGAATGTGGAGCTATGAACAAGCATGTGTGGTATTCAGCAAGTGCACAGTAAGTATTGAAAGTTTTGCTATCATTTCAATACTATTGTCCAATCCAACGCCCTTTTACAAGCAATGCATCTCACCTTCCAAAGCTTTCCCATCTCACCCATCTCACTCACTGGCTCCCTAGTTGTGGTTGTATCACCCATGTTGTAAACTGACTTTTTCTAGGCACTCAACTTACCTATGGAAGTTAATTTTGCACTAAGAACTTCTCACCAGTCCACAAAGATGATAATCTTTATCATCATCAATTGTGATTTTTCTCCCAATACTTGAATGATATTTCTGAAAGTAACACAGACTTCTGTTTTGAGGAAGCTATTGAGAATTTGCCTTCAATGCCCCTGTGTCTCTGGA